ATTCCTCCTCCGGGGGCATTCCTCCTCCGGGGGTATTCCTCCTCCGGGGGCATTCCTCCTCTGGGGGCCTTCAGTGGTAATCCACCTGGCCAGGCGCTCATACCAGCCCCTCAGGGAGCCACGCTAGGCCGTGAACAGCCCTGGGTGTCTGCAGGCTCCTGAGGGGGAGGGCTTGCAGGGTTGTGGGGCAGAGCGGGAAGGGAATAGGGGTGTTGATTTGTGCTTTGGGCATTGAAGTCCCCGCTGAGGGCACTGTCTCCCTCACAGTGTTAACTGCGTGTCTGAAGCATGCCAAGGACTGTGTTGGGGACATATAGGGGTTACCACAGGGAGTTGCCTGGCATATACCACCTCCCACTGTGTGTGTGTGTGTGTGTGTGTGTGTGTGTGTGTGTGTGTGTGTGTGTGTGTGTGTGTGTTTGTGTGTGTGCGTGCGCGCGCGCATCCAGAGAATAACCTCCACTGTTAATCTTCCAGGTGTTTTTTGAGACAAAGTCTCTCACTGGGACCTAGGACTCCCTGATTAGGCTAGACTGACTGGCCAGCCAGCCCTAGGGATCCACCTGCCTCTACTTCCCCAGTGCTGGGATTACAGGCACACACCACCATCTTAGCCTTTTAAAAGATTAATTAGCTGGGCCATGGTGGTGCATGTCATTTAATCCTAGCACTTGGGAGACAGAGGCAGTTCGAGGTCAGCCTGGTCTTCAGAGTGAGTTCCAGGACAGCCAAGGCTACACAGCAAAACCCTCTCTTGACAAACAAAAACAAAACAAAAAGAAAGATTTATTTTTGTTAACTATGTACATATGTGGTGTGTGTGAGTTTGTGCATGTGAGTACAGATGAAGGCTAGAAGAAGCGTGTCAGATCCCCTGGAGCTGGAATTACAGGTGAACTGTCCGACGTGGAACTGAACTCGAGTCCTCTTCAAGAGCAGTAAGCACTCCTAACAGCTGAGCCGCCTCTCCAGCCCTGTACCAGGCTTTTCTATTATACATGGATTGTGGGGATCAAACCCGGGTTCTCTGCGTGTGTGATACGTGTTCTACTGATGGGGCTATCTCCCCAGCACGTGACCTGGCATTTTCTTACACAGTGGAGATGGAGGGAGGCCTGTAGTTGCTATGGGAGCCCAGCGCTGGCACCTGAGCCGACACCCGAGCCAAGGTGTGACCACAGACAAGGTGACCTGGAGTGAGCCTCTGGAGTCTCAGGCTGTGCCTCGTCTGGTCCTGAGACAGGACCCTGAGAGCCCCCTTCTCTCTGTAGGTCAGCCATGTCATCTGAACCACCCCCGCCGCCGCCGCAGCCCCCGACGCCGCATCAGACTAATGTCGGGCTGTTGGACACTCCTCGGGCCCGGGATCGCTCTCCATCCCCACTGCGAGGCAATGTGGTCCCTAGTCCTCTGCCCACCCGCAGGACAAGGACCTTCTCAGCGTAAGTCTCAGGCTGGCCAAACACACTTCCTAAAATGGGGGCTGCTACCAGAGCGAGCAGGATCTAGAGAAGTGGTAGTGAGGAAACTCACTAGGGCCTTCAAACTCAGGTGCTGTCCTCCTCATCTGTGGGAGCCGCCCCCCACCCCCACCCCCGTAGTGATAAGCTGCTGGGCTTTAGCCACAGAGGCCTCTTCCCCAGGAGGCCTTGACCTCCTCGGCTGTATGGCGGGGACAGTGCCTGGCTATCCACTAGTCGGTGTAGAGTTTAAGCCCTGTGAGTGGATGCTAAAGCTGTTACTAACAGTTTCTGAAGGGATGCTCCCAAATACGTTATTTCAGCCCCCTGTTTCCAGATGGACAAACAGGCCTGAGAAAATGTGCCAAGGTTATCCAGTCATTTCTACACTTCTGTGTGGACGGCTCCCAGGGGCGTGCACAGAGCCTGTGTGACTATACATGGTGGCCCTAGCCAGGCCTCCCTGAGGCACAGCCGGGAGACCTGGAGTGGGTGGCTACTGTATGGAACTAATGGGTGTCCCCTCTCATCTCCCTCTCTGTCAGGACGGTGAGGGCTTCACAGGGCCCTGTCTACAAAGGAGTCTGTAAATGCTTCTGCCGGTCCAAGGGCCACGGCTTCATCACCCCGGCTGATGGTGGCCCTGACATCTTCCTTCACATCTCTGAGTGAGTTCACTGTGGCATATCTGGAGGTCTAGACTGGGGGTAGAGGGGGTGTGGCCCTGGCCCCCTGCTGTATAGGACAGTGTGATTGGAAGGTGCCAGGCTTGAGGGTGTATGAGGAGTGTGCGGCTGACCACAGTTCGTGTGTGACAGTGATTGGGCATGACTGTGACTGGCATGAGGTCTTGGGTGTGTGCCCACTACAGATGCCGGGCGCACGGTGACGACGGTGCTGGGCCTGGTATGTGAAGGCAAATGGTTCATGGTGGGTTGTGAGTGTCCTGTGCCTGGCCTGTGGGGAGGGTGTCCCTGGGGTGGGGAGTGCATTGGCCTCCTCAGGGGAGTGGCCTGGAGAGGCTGGGGTTGTCTGTTTCTTCTGCTCCAGGAAGGAAGCACAGGGCTGGTCCCTTTCTCCCGCCATTGCTCACTGAGGCTCTTCCTTCCTGCCTGGAAGCTTGCAGGAGTCCAGGGTGTGGCCCACAAGGCCCCCAGCAGCCCCTTCCCTGTTTGGCTCCCGAGCAGCTTTTGGGTTTCCTGGGAACTCTATCCAGACTTGCTTCTTTGGCCCAAGCACCCAGCCCGCCCTGATTTCATTTTGGCTGAACTGGGGGCTGAGTCCAAAGCTAGGCAAGTACCCTACCAGTGGCTGACACCCTGGCCACACATTCAGTCTCACTCAGCCAGAGGGACCAGAGCCTTTTTCCCAGAAGCCCCAACTAAGTCTGAAGCCATGGTTTGAAAAAGAGGGTGGTGTGCACCCCTGTGCTGTGATGAAGTTCTAGCCAGCTCTCCTCTGCCTCCCCAGCATGCTTACACACCAGGCCCGATGCAAAGGCCCCGTAAGCTGGGTATGGTGATGGATGCCTGTGATCCCAGCACACAGAAGGCAGAGGTAGGAGAGTTGGCGACAGTTTGAGGCCAGCCTGGTCTATACACTGAGTTTCAGGCTAGCCAGGGCTACATAGTAAGACTCTAGTCTCTAAGAATAAAATAAAATCCCCCTAGCCAGCACAGACCTGAGATAGTTGCTGGATGCATTTTACATGTGTATGAGTGCATGCATGGGTATGTAATGTCCATACTACCTCTTTCCAGGAAGGATTTCCAGTGATTTATAAGCACACACAGTACAATATGAAAAGTGACTAGGAGGACGCATAGGGTGGGGCAAGCGTGAGTGATGGAGATTCTGTGAGATGTCTAGGGTCTACTGTTGGAATGTCTACAAGAAGCTCCCTGGTGACCATTTCAAAGAGGGAAAACATTGATTGCTTGGAGAGTCTCGAATCAGAACAAGTCACTTCCAGGGCATGTTGGCTGGCCCTGGGGCTTAGGATCATCAGGATGCTGCCCTCGATGTGAGACCATGATCCATCCCCTAGGAAGTCAGGAAGCCTTGCAGTGGCTGATCACAAGAGAGAGACCAGTTCGGGACTTAGCTTGAAGCAACTGGGGACTTTTTCTCCACTGCTATTTATTCAGCATAGGCACTTTTTTGTTTGTTTGTTTGTTTGTTTGTTTTTCTTTTCTTTTTGGTTTTTGAGACAGGGTTTTTCTGTGTAACAGCACTGGCTGTCCTGGAACTCACTCTGTAGAACCAGGCTGGCCTCGAACTCACAGAGATCCACCTGCCTCTGCCTCAAGTACTGGAATTAAAGGCGTGTGCCACCACTGCCTGCCTAACATATATACTTTCATGTGCTAGGCAAACTACTCTGCCGTTGAGCGGTATCCTCAGCACTCTTTTTTTTTTTTTTTTTTGAGACAGGGTTTCTCTGTGTAGTTTTAGAGCTTGTCCTGGATCTCGCTCTGTAGACCAGGCTGGCCTTGAACTCACAGAGATCCACCTGCCTCTGCCTGGGATTAAAGGCTTGTGCCACCACTGCCTAGCTGATCCTCAGCACTCTTATGACAAGGTGTCATGTTGCTCATGACGCAACTACATGACCTCCTAATGTAGTTGAATCTGGCTTTGAACTGATACTACAGTCCTATATCCATCTCCCAAGTGTTGAGATTACAGGTGTGTGCCACCATGCCTGGCTCAGCCTTCTTTCAAAAACAACAACAACAACAAAAAAAAAAACCCAAAACCTTTTAAATATGTGCATTTATTATTTATTTTGGTTTTTCAAGACATGGTTTCTCTGTGAAACAGTCCTGGCTGTCCTGGAACTCACTCTGTAGACCGGGCTGGCCTTGAACTCAGAGATTCGCCTGCCTCTGCCTCCCAAGTGCTGGGATTAAAGGCCTGTGCCACCACCACCACCACCACCACCACCCGGCCGCATGTATTTATTTTTATAAATTGTTTTTTCATTTTATTAATACATATGTATGTGTAGGCATGGATACCACCATACTAGTATGGAGGTCCAACACATACAGGAATCCGTTCTCACCTACCATGTGTGTTAAGGGGATCAAATTCAGGTTATGAGGCTTGGTGGTGAGCAGCTTTACCCTCCTCCCCCAGTTCATCTTGCTGAGCTCCTCTGTACTCTTTATCTTGAGACATGATCTCAACTAAGTTGGCCAGCCTGGTCTTCAGTTCTCTCTGTAGGCCAGGGAGACCTTCAGCTTGCAGTCCTCTTGTCTCAGCCTCCCAAGTAGCTGGGATTACATGCCCATGCTACCAGGCTTGGCTTATTAGGCACTTTTTTGAAGGTGGAAAAGTTTGGTTCCGGAAGCCCTGGGACCGAGGGCAGTGTGTAGAGACAGCCAAGGAAAGCTGGTCTGAGTTCGAGTCTCTGGCTTTTCCACCCACATGCTCAGTGCCGATACATGAACATCCAAGTGGCTGGGCTGTCTTAGCCCCAGAGAGGAGCTGCTGGGGCCAGGACACAGGCGGGTAGAAGGGCAAGGAGGCACTGTTTCTGGAAGTACTGAGTAGCTAGGAAGATGGTGTCCATCCTAGTGTCCCAGTGAGGAGTCTCTGGGGCTTGTTTTCTGTGGGCACTGACTGGTTTTGTGTGTGTGTGTCTGTCTGTCTGTCCGTCCGTGTGTTTTCAGAGGCCAGAGGTCAACATTGGTGTCTTCTATCATTCTCCACCTTAGTTTTTTCTTAAAATTTTATGAGTGCTTGCCTGCATGTATGTAAGTGTACCATATGTATGTCTGGTGCCTGTGGAGACCAGAAGAGGGTGTAGGATCCCCTAGAACAGGAGTTATAGACAGTTGTGAGCTGTCAAGTGGGTGCTGGGAATTGAACCCAGGTCTTCTGCAAGAGTAAACAGCATGGGCTCTTAAGCATGCCATCTCTCCAGTCCCATCTCCACCTTTTTGTCGAGACAGGGTCTCTCACTGGCCGGCCAGCACTGGGCTCCTCCTGACTCTGCCTCTCCAGCACTGGCCAGTTCACTCCACCATACCTGGCTTTTTCACATGGGAGCCGGGACCAAACTCAGGCAGGCATTTTCTAGACTGAGCCAGTTTCTCAGCCCTAATGACTGTTCTTTCTCTCCTGCAGTGTGGAAGGGGAGTATGTTCCAGTGGAAGGCGACGAGGTCACCTATAAGATGTGCTCTATTCCGCCCAAGAACGAGAAACTGCAGGCTGTAGAGGTGGTCATCACCCACCTGGCACCGGGCACCAAGCATGAGACCTGGTCCGGGCATGTCATCAGCTCCTAGGGCCTGCAAGAACCCCTTCTCCTGGGTTTGAGGGAGACTTTGGGGGAGGAGGAGCAGGACACCCTGGATATAACACTCTGCCACACAAGATGGGGCCTCAAGGCGGGCATGGCCCCTTTCAAGCATTTCCTGGAAGAAGGGAGTTGTGGGTAGGCAGGGGGTGCTCTCAGCCACTAGCACAGCCTTCAGCCATTGCAACAAGCTCTCACTGTCTGAAAACATTAAAAGCATTTGAAAAAGAGAGGGACCTGCGGTGGCTGAGTGGAGAGGGTGCAGCCCCAGCCCAGGGCGGGTAGGCCAAACATGCTATTTCCCCAAATGCTCCCCCTAGGTCAAGCAAGCCCATAAGGACTCCTCCTGGACTAAAGACAACCCCACACACACATCTATTTGGCTCCCTGAGGGGTGTCACCAGCCCTATGAGGCTCCCCATGACCCAATGCCTCATCTAACTTGGGCCCAGGTCAGATCCATCTTCTGATTGTCAGCCTGACTAGTTCAGGCTTATGTATGCGGGGAACTTTCCAGGGGACTTTGCCTCTTAGTGTCTTTACAACAGGTGTGTCTCCACCTTCTGGGAAAGACTCCAACCCTTAGGAGCTCCTGCTCTAAACAGCAGTCTGGGGGCTCAGCTGACCCCCACCCCTGGGAGTGCTGGTCTTTTCTACTTGCAGGTATAAGGTACGGCTCCCTGGGGCATTAAGCCTCTCTTTAAGCCAGTGCTGCAGGGAGCTGTGGGGTGAGGAGGAGGCCTCTGCAGAAGAGCTGTAGAGACGGGAGGGGGGGGGCATGCCTTGTAATCTCTGCACTTGGAGGGCTGAAATAGAGTTCTAGGTGCCACCGAAGCCTAACCATACCAGAGTGAAAGCAAAGCTTCGCTCAGAGGGGTCATGCCCGCCGTGAGGCCCCCTCTTGTGTGGTAGAGTGTTATATCCAGCTTTTTTATTGATAGCTAGGGACAATGGGGTGACAAAGAAGGCTGTCAACCTCAGGGAGCCTTCCTGGGTCCTGGCAAAGTAGCTTTGGAAGTCTGTTCCATAGCCAACAGACAGGCCCCAAGAGAGGCTCTGGGCCGTCAGCCAAGCCTGGAAGGGGAAAGGCACCTTTGACCTAGTAGAAAAAACACCTGCCAGTATCCCAACAACAAAGAAAATGGTCAAGCTGGGTAGTGGAGGTAAACTAGCTGCACAAGACTTTTGCACGTTTAGCCACTTACTTTTTGTCTGTGCAAATGCATGAGGACAACCTGTTCCCGTTCCTCGGGTGCTAGCCATCCTTTAGGAAGAAAAAGTAGGGTCTGTCACTGGCCTCCATCTCAGCAGACAGGCTCGGCTGGCTTCTGCCTGGCCCAGCTTCCCTGCTTCTGGGACTGCTCAAGTGTGCACCACCACACCTGGCTTTTTCTGGGGCTTGAACTCACATCCTTCACTCGACCCTCTCAGCTGTGTTCCTGACCCCCGTGACTGTCTGAAAGCCATTGACGGTCATCAGAGTTCCAGCCTTTGTCCCCTCGGGATAGACCCTCATCCAGAATTAAGACACACTGATGTCTATAGTGCCCCCAATATCAAAGAAGCCTCTGGTCTGGACCACTGGGGCAGTATTGGTACCCCTGTTCTGACGAGATCTCAACTCTGTTTCAAAAACCCATTACCCAACTACTTCTATTTTTAAATCACAACTAAAGCCAAAGCCAGAAAGAAGTATAAAGATCAGTTCGCGTGAAACCCATCTCTAGTGCTGCAGGCAGGGCTCTGTGGGGGTTGAGCTAGTTAATATGAAGGTATGAAGGCAACCTGTGACCCCAGCAAGTGGGAAGGCATGAAGGGTGCTGAGACACCTTACTGTATTGCTCTACAGCCTAGGCCCTGTCTCAAAACAAACAACAAACAAACCCTAGAACACCTTGCAGGCAGAGGCTTCAGTGTAGCTCACTGCAGTGCCGGTTGGCATTTCCAAGGCCCTGGGCTCCCCCAGCACTGAGGAAGGGGGAAACTACTTAGCATTGGTCCAAGGTCGTCTGCTTCAACTCCTAATGTTACAAGGCCATCAGAGTCAAGTTCTGGGGCTTATGCTAGCAGTGGAACCCAGAGCCCTGCACATGCTGCCCGAGTGCACACAACATTGCTCCGTCCCCAGCCCTCGTTTGTTTAGAGACGTGTTCATGGACCTGCTAATGGGCCCTGCCCCCACTGAGCTGGCGCCCAGTTCTGCTGGCAGGATGGCCTCCGGATTCTTTTGTCTCTCAGAGTCCTTTGTAAAGGGCTTTTCCTGTATGGTCACATCACTTCGGCCTCTAGACTGTTCTGGAACTGCAGGGTTATTGGTGTTAGAAGAGACCCCCTCTCTTCAGACAGGAGTGTCAATTTCTAGATCAGGAAGGACCCAGTGCTGGTTATGGGGCAGGAAAGAACAGATGCCCAGATCTAGACCTGTGACCCCATCAGCTAACTCTTCCTCAATAAAGTTTGCTTTGTGCAACAAGCTGAGCTGACTATAAAGGCTGTGTGCACACTTGTGCCATTGTGAACCTGGAAAGGTTCTACTGGAGGACAGGGTGCCCCCCCCCCCAAGCAAATGGCTGACACCCTCTGCAGCATGTTTAACTGGTGGAGAAGTCCCCTCATTATCCAACATAGGAAAGCTGAGCTCAGGAATGGATGGGGCTTGTTCACATGGTGGGTTGTAAGTAAATGCTCTGTGGTGGCACTTAGGATGTCACGTAAATACGTCAGAGAAGGAAGGGTCTTGGGGTTCCTGAGGCTCCCCAGGGACTATGTAGAGAACCAGAGATGGGGCTGCCGCTCATATAGGTCCAGTGGGTCAGAAGGGCACCAGTGAGGCCACCAGCCTTTGTGGGGGAGGAGTAGCAGGTTGCTGATACGGCAGTGGCAGCCCAGGGTGGTGTGGTTCTGCCAGGGATGGGATGTTGATGAATCAGTGACTCTCCCAGTGGCTGGGGAAGTAACCAGCCTATCAAGCCTGTTCAGGGAGAGTCCGGACAAGATGAGGTGACCACAGTAAATGAGCCTGGGTTTCTCCAAGTTGTCTGGTGTGCTGTGGTAGGTGTACTTAGCCTGGGGTAAGGAAGAGGAAGTGATTCAGTGTTTCACGTGCGAGCATACTTGAATTTGCTCCTCAGTGCCTGTCTTCCCACCCAGACATGGTTGGGGCACCTTCTAGGGTCATGCAGTGCCCCTATATGGGAACCAAGCATTTTAGTAAACTTCTGTTAGCTCAGGCTTTCCTGAGGCTTCCTAAAAGTTGGTGACTGAGTCCTGGACAGGCAGCTCACGCAGAGGCGACACTTTCTGAGCAGCCCAGGATGCTTTCCTCAAGTCCTCTGCAATCCCTACTCGGTAGGACTGAACTCTTGACAGATAAGAAACTGAGGTCACCAGCAAGGCCACAATGTGTGACTTCTGCACTATCATTTTACTGTCATGCAATGCTGGGGAGCAGAGGCCCTTGGTTAGGTGGGATGGTTGAATGAAGACAGTGGGGGTCTGTGACAGCCACTGTAGGGACTGGCAAAGCCTGGAGCCCACCTGGCACCTTTGGGTCCCCACCTGCGGGCAACGTGGGACCTGCAGGCAGAACACAGCCTCTGGGCCAGCTAGGGGCTCCAGCGTCACTGGAGAAGAGCAGAAAAGCTCTCAGGACCCAAGGTGGAGTTCTCTGAAGAACTAGAGAAGAACCCATTTGATATCAGGCTTAAAGTGACCAGAACAAGAAGTGAGGAACGATGCAGTCCCTTTAATGTGTTTCCCTGGGTAAGTATTCAGAGCACTGCCATAAAATTCAAGGGCAGATGTCACAGGGTGGAGGTCCTGGCACTCTGTGGAGGTGGGCAGAGGTGAAGGGGTCAGCAGCAGGTGCCAGTGTGGGCAGTCAAGGGCAGGGCAGGGGAACTCACAGTGGCTGGAGGCAGGAAATGGCGGCAGGGGCTCCCAACCAGGAGCCGGGCTGCAGAACCGTTTACTCGGCACTGGAAAGCGGCCTGGGAAAAATTCTTGGAAGGCTCTCCCTGAGGTTCTCCAGGAAGAGGCTGAAGGAGTGGCAGCCCTTGCTGCCTTGGTCATCGTGCTGTTGCTGATGCCACCCTCAGGAACTGGGTCTGTTACCTGGGTCAGCAGCCTGGCGGCAAGGACTGCAGACGGGCTTGGCTTTGCTGGCTCCTCGGCCCGCCCTCCTGCTGTAAAATGTAGCAGATAGGTCCAGCCAGGCCAGTGGAGGTAACAACTGGGATCACTTGTCACTTGGCCAGCTGTCAGGCCGGCCAGCCGGCCAAGCTGTGGTCTGCAGTTCACACACAGGAAGCCGGCTTGAAAACAGAAACAGCAGTCCTCCGGCAGGACACTGTCTCCACCACAGACTGCAACAGTTCTGTCCAGGTGGGTAGCTGTGGACGGCTTGTTCTTTTCTCATCATCAGGGCCCCCTTTTTGGTGGTAACAGGGTCTGAACACTGACAGCTGTCAGGTTTTCATGAAGCCCTGCTGCTGTGCTGGTGCATGTAATCTGCATTCTGCATTTGTAAGGCAGAGGCAACGCCCTTGAGCTCAGCTCAGCCTGGTCTACAGAGCGGGTTCTGGGGCAGCCAGGGCTGCATAGGGAGACCATGTCTCAAAACAGCCCTCTCCAAACCCCATCTCAAGTTCCACAAAGGGTAAGGGGCCCAGGCACATGCTTGTGTTTTCCTGTATCATCATGGAGAAATTTCAAAGACCAGCCATGTATCCCATCAGCTGGCTCTCAGACCATGGGCTGGGAGAAGGGAATGGTGAAATACTTCTGTTTTAAGGTACCTAAATCTTGGTTGGGATCCAAGAGAGGGCCTCATCCATGCCAGGCAAGTGTTCTCTGGGCTATGCCCCCAACCCCAGAGCCACTATTCTGTTTGAGACAGGGTCTCATTCTGTACCCCCAGGCTGGCCTCCAACTTGTGGCAATGCTCCTGCCTCAGTACTGCTTCCTGAGTACAGAGTCCAGGCGTGAGCCATCACACTGAGCCACAGCCATTTCTGACTTAAGTTCTTTCCTTTCCCTTGGGGCTGCTGGTGATGCTGGACAGAGGTAGAGGCATGCCCAGTAAGATGACCTCTAGTCCCTGTGTGACTGGACCCATGAGAACAGCCTGGCTGGAGGCTAGGGGCAGATGCACATGAGGAGGGACTCCAGCTCTGGCACTAAATGACTCCTGACCCTGAGTGACCTTTCAGCTTTGTTGGCCAGGACCCCATTCCTCTGGTGTTAAGGGAAGAGCTCCTCACAGATCCTGCGTGTGTCTTCAGGTGCTGTCACTGTGTAGCCCACAGTTCTGGGGTCTGTGAAGATCTCATGGTCATTGCCACCCTGCAGAGACACAACAGAAGCAGTAGGCTATGGTTTGTCCTGGTCCCTGGCTGCTGCCACCCTGATGTTCCTGGGCTAGGGAGGTTTCTTCAGTTCATTTCCCTTAGTTTCCAAGAAAGGAATGACATTTTAGTCACGCTGAGCAAGGAGTTTAACCTTCTCATGAACCAAAATTGAGCTCAAAAGGTAATTATGCTCATGAAAGGCATCAGAATGCCTTTGTGAGGATCTGGCTATGGCTTATTATTCTAGGGAAAAAGCACAGTAAATGACAATCTCACAGCCATTAATTTGTCTTTATGCCCAAATTTCTCTGGAAAGTCACAAGGAGTGCTGGAGGGGCAGGCAGCCTAGAGTGGGGTTGTTCACACCCTATGAAATGAACATGGCCGGTCAGTCTGTCCACAGCCACTGGGCACATGGGTGACTGGGCACTTGAAGTGTGGCCAGTAAGAGGGGACTGAGTTGAGTTGACTGTGTGGTGTACGTATGCCTGCATGTTCCTATGTGTATGCATGCATGTTCCTATGTGTGTGCACGCATCTGGAGGACAAAGGTTGACTGGGTCTTTCTCACTTACTCTCCATCTCACTGAGACAGGGTCTTTCACTGACCCTGGCCTCACTGATTTGGCTAGCCCAGTTGGCCAGGGGGTCCTCGGATCTACCTGTCCTGCCGCCCCAGTGCAGGGATGATAAGCACGCACCACTGTGCCTGGCTGCTTACACAGGGGCTGGGGATCTGAAAAGGTCTCTCACTTGGGTGGCAGATGTGTGACCATGAGCCATCTCTCCAGCTTTCAGTTAATTACCACCATTTTGAGGAAGCTAGGCTGCATAGCTACATCATCATCATTACCATCACCATCATCATCACCATCACCACTACCCATTTTGAGGAAGCTAGGCTGCATAGCTACATCATCACCATCATCATCACCATCACCACTACCCATTTTGAGGAAGCTAGGCTGCATAGCTACATCATCATCATCACCATCACCACTACCCATTTTGAGGAAGTTAGGCTGCATAGCCCAGGCTGGCCTCAAATTTAACATCCCTGCTTTGGCCTCCTTTGCCTGGGATTACAGGCACAGGCCACCATCACTGATTTTAATGAGGCAGAGATGGAGGGGCTGGCACAGGGATCCCAGAAGTCACAAACCATGGGACTAGGCTCTCTCCGGAGAATGGACCACAGGCACTTGGAAGCTGCTTTTGCTGTAAAGCATCTACTTCAAACCGCAGGGGACTAAAAGCAGGATGAAGTCGTCACATCCTGCCTCAGCCCTAACTGAATCTGAGTGCCAGTCACCAAACCCATCTCACACCTTTCAAAACTGGAGGCACCAAGGAAGAGTCACTGTCCTAAACCCACAGTCACCTTGGAACAGCAAACTCTCCTGGTAGAACCACGCCAGAGGCGGGGCAATAACCCACCGTGAGGCTATGCCTGGAGCACTCCTCCTGAAGGCCAGTTTGTTCCCACCTGGCAGTTAAAGCAGGCTGGATCACACCTTCCTCCTTTTGCAGACCTCCTCCTCTCCCCCATCTGCCCTTTAAGCCTGAGCTCATGTCAGCTTCCTAGAGGTGGACTTGTGGTCACAGAGCCTGGGCTTTTGCCATAAAACTGGCTACAAATGGCTGGGGTGCAGTGGAGGCTCCTGACAGAAGCTACTATCTTAGAAGAGAAACTCCAGAAGCACAAGGCTTAGACTGGTCCTATGCCGCTGCTACATCCGCCACTGACCCACACAGCGGGCTCCATGCTCCTGCTTTGCTGGGTCAGCGAGCCGCACCTGTGAGCTGTTTGAGGCAGTCTACACTTTATGTCAGGTGTGAAAAATCAAAACTGGGCTGCCTCTGATCCCAGCGCTCCGGGAGGCAGAGACAGGCAGATCTTCATGAATTTGAGGCCAGCCTGATCTACAGAGTGAGATCCTGTCTCAAAAAACAAAGCCCAGGCTGTACAGAGCATGGAACAGTGGGTCTGAGGTCATCTGAAACAGAAGCAGGCCTGAGCTAGTGGGTCTGGGAACTAGAGAGTGCACAGGCTGGATATGCATATGTCCTGATTCTGCTAGGATAAGCTCAGCTACCCCAAGCTCCCGGAACAAAAACTATTCCTAAAGAAGAGAAGGAAGGCTGTGCCTGGGAGTGGGCCATCCTATCCCGGAGGCATCTGGAAGTCAGCCTGTTAATATTTAAATCCTTACAATGCCCAAGGTCTGAGAATGGAAAGGGAAGCCGGGATTGATGAGCACTGGTTACCCTCCCTCGTGGGGATAATGCCAACACTGTCCACAGTCCGTGAGCCCCTTTTCACAAGAAGGATCCAGAGCTGCTGCATGGCCGGCATGCACTTGCTGCGTGGACAGCCACCCACAGCACAGACTGATTATCTGCACACTTTAGCCTACACTCTCATTGTACTGACTCCATGCTAAAACTTTATAGCCTGCTTTTGGGTGAGGCAGGCACCGTAGTGAAGGGACTGCTTTCAAGGGAGCAGCACTGCCTGGAGGCCAGGGAATCTGACAATAAGACAACAACAACAAACCACGCCTGCCCGCCCTGTGTGTGTGTGTGTGGGGGGGGGCAGTGGTGTCACGCGCCTTTAATCCCAGCATTCAGGAGGCAGAGGGAGGTGGATCTCGGTGAGTTCGAGGCCAGCCTGGTCTACAAAGCCAAAGCCAGTTCCAGGATAGCCAGGGCTACACAGAGAAACCCTGTCTCAAAAAAATCAACCAACCAACCAACCAAACAAACAAACAAAAGGCCGTCTACAGGCAGGGCCAGGCTAGAATCCTGAGGTTCTGAATGTGTACCGAAGGTGAGTCCAGTTCTCCCAGTCTAGAACTAGAATGTGGAGTGCAACGTGGGCTGGGCCATAGGCCCTGGAGTGGAGGTCAGGTCTGTGGGTGGCTTGGAACTTGACCACTGTTCTGCTCCTCTCGGCAGTGGAGCAGGAGACAGCTATGGGCCAGCCTTGGCATGACTATGTATCTAGGACACACAGATTCTGTGACCCCACCAAGTCAACTGCATACCAGAGGTCAAAGCCTGTGCTTCCCCGAACTAAAGCCCAGACAGTGGTGAGGGATGTTTATGCACTGAAGAACCAGACTCAAGACCAGTAGACCATGCACTCTGGTGTTCAGGCAGGCAGGAAGGCAGGCAGGGACCCAGGAAACCCCTGAAGCTAGTCTGAGAACCTGTAACCTGGTTAAAAATCCGTCAGTTCAGGAAGCAGACTATGGAGAGCATGGCATCATCCAGGGATCCCCTCGGTAAAGGGGATCCTCGGTGGAGAGAACACATTGTATGCTGTCACCGGTCCAGGATGGCAAAATCCAAGTTCTCACCCCAAACATGGCTGAAGACAGCAGGATGTGATTTCTGAACGAACACCTTGATTGTTTAGGAAGGTACCAGTGGATAGGTAAGCCCTCTCCCGGGTTTTCTACAGGCCCTGACCTCTCAGTCTCAGTCAGAGCTAAACCTCTCTGCAACATTCTTACAGAGCTAAGGCTGAGCTGGGCTGTGAGGAGGTTGTGCAGGAAAAGACTGCACCCCTGGGGCTGGAGGCGCTTAGGGTTAGAACCCTGGCTCTTCTCCCAGGGACCCAGGCTTGACTCCCAGGACCCACATGCTAGCTCACAGCCACCTGTGAAACCAGTTCCAGGGGACCCGACACCCTCTTCTGACCTCCACAGGCAACAGGCAAAACACCAATACATATAAAAAAAAGTAATCCCAGGCTCCTTGGGTTAGCCAGGCCCTGAGACCTCCCAGGACCCTGTTTCATCCTCCCAGGGCTCCTTTAGAAGGGGAACTTCATCCCCATAGAGGTTCTCAGAGACAGGCTTGTGAGTCTCACTACTGTGGCAAGCGGTGGGGCCATTTCCCGTCTGGGTGGTTTACCACCTTCACCCTTGACCACCCTGAGCTGACTTTCAAGGCAGATGGTCCCCCTCAGATTTCAGGAGGATGAAACGCACCACTGAATGGGAGGGGCCTCTGCAGGCTACAGGAGGGAGGAATGTGTGTGGGGGCTGGAAGTACAGAGAGCAAGTTCACTGAATGTCCAGCTCAGGCTGCATCCCGCAGGTACCTGAAAACTAGATCCTCTGCTTTCTCCATTAACAGCATTTAGTTATCAACAGACTATTAAGTGAACTAGTTCAAAAGTGTACCAGCAGGTAGCTGGGCTCTCTTTGGAGGCAAAGGACTGTGACCTGGGAGACTTGGAGGAGAAAATTTTAAAGGATCACATCTTGGAGGCAAGTTCCCCATCCCCTGTAAAGGGCCATTGACTTTACCTCCTTTCTTGTGTGTCTATTAATAATGGCCAGTCTAGTTGGAGGAAGGCGGCTCTCACTGTAGCCTGAACTTGTTATCTTGTGTTCTACGATTACAGATGTGGACCCCCACAGGCCCAGGAGTCCACTGTGTGTTTTCCTTGGTGCAATATGCCTTCAAACATGTTAAATCAGTTTTTAAAAAAATTGTTTTCTATGTATTGGTGTTTTGCCTGCATGTGTGTCTATGCACCAGTGTGTGCTTGGTATCCAGAGGCCAGACAGAACACAGCATCAGATTCCCATGGAACTAGAGTTATCTATTGTTTTGAGCCACCATGAGGGTGCTGAGAATTGAACCTGGGTCCTCTGGAAGAGCAGCCAGTGTTCTTAACCACTGAGCCGTCTCACCAGCCCCTTAAATCAGGTTCTTACTTTGCTGCTGAGCTGCAGGAGTCTCTGATACATTTTGATTTTGAATAGACAGACATATGGTTTGTGAGGCTGCCTTTTTTAGGTTTTGTTTTGTTCTGTTTCTGAGACAGGGCTGTCCTGGAACGCACTGTGTAGAGCAGGTTTGCCTTGAGCAACAGATCCACCTGCCTCTGCCTCCCAAGTGCAGGGACTGAAAGTGTGCGTCACCACCCATGCACAGGCTGCCCTTTCCTGTCGTGATGTCCTTGCTGTGCAGTGGCAGTGTTTGTCTGGTCCAGGCCTGACTATTGACTTGGCTTCCTGGGCCCGAGCTTTCAGGTCAGCCCAAGACACTGTCCAGAGGCTGCTTCCTGTCTCTAGGTCTGCAATGTCAGGCTCACAGATAAACATCCGCACAGTGAACCACGGTCCTGTGATCAGAGGTGATACTCGCGGTGGCTGAGAGAACACGGTCTGCCCATGGACGGGTAAGGTGGACAGCATACCCACACAGTGCACAGTTACCCGGCCATAACAAAGGAAATGCTGCTGCTGCTGCTTTTTTTGGAGACAGGGTTTTCCTGTGTAATAGCCTTGGCTGGCTGTCCTGGAACTCACAGAGATCCACCTGCCTCTGCCTCCTGAGAGCTGGACTAGAGGCATGTGCCACCACTGCCTGGCAACACAGGGAATTAATTCTTACTGCTCTTTGTAAGGATGAACCTGGAGGCTGTCACACTAAGTGAAATAATCCACTGTCCTCAGGGAGGTAGACCTCTGACAGGGCAGGTCTTGACAGAGCAGCCATCAAAGCATTTGTGATACCCTACTGGGTTTGGAGTGGCCACCATGCCTGAACCCGGTGATGTGGGCAGTGCAGGGTGGGAAGCAGACAGGCACAATAACAGACCCCAGCCCAGGCAGTGAGCAGCTGGTATGGAGGCTCCTCTTAGGCCTCGGATGGTGGCACTAGGCAGCCGTCCAGGGAGAGCCTCACAATGCTGCCGAAGTGTCTCTGAGGAAATGGCTTCATTGTGCCCCTCTCTGGCACAGTGTGTGCAGATCCTCGCTCCAGTTTTCTCTGAGCGTCTCTGAGCATCATACTCAGGTACCCCCCATCTTCTCATGTTTGTGACCTAGTGTGCACTGTACAGTGAACATGGTAGTGGACGTAGAGCAGGAGAATAAAGCGACAGTGGTGAAGGCTTTGTCTGCCTTTCTGTTTGTTCTACGCAGGGTCTCACTGTGGCGGGCCTGGAACTCACTGTGGACCGCACTGGTCTTGGTCTCACAGAGACCTGCCTGCCTCTGCCGCTGGAGAGCTAGCGCTGAAATGCAGAGGGTGTGACAACAGGTGATCTGACAGGCACTCCAAGTGGGAAGTACTTAGTTCAAGAGGCTGACTGGAAGTGATCTACAGTCTTTGCTTCCACTGGGGCAGGGCCTCAAAGCTCTTCAGGGGAGGGAGGCTAGCAGGGCCAGCAGGCAGAGTAAGATGGCAAAACAGCCTGCTCTAGCTTCCCCCGCCAAGCCCAAATGGCACAGGAGACTTTCCTACTTACCGGCATAGTCTTGTCTCCAAAGAAATAGATGGTCTTGTAACCATCATGTTCTAGGTGTCTCAGGCAATACCGCTTGTCCCATCCATCAGGGAAGACGTCAAAGCTGATTTGGCCACCTGCAGGATGGGGAGGGGACACACCAAGAAGGTGAAAGGGTTAAAACGAGGCTAAGGAAGGTTGGGGGGGTGGCTCAGTGGTTACAGGGCTTGCCTAGCAGGCCTGGGGCTGAGTCCCATCCCCAGCACAGCCTCAGGTGAGAGGAGGGAGGTAACAACTTTTGGAAAATAATGCAGCTTATTTTTATTTTTATTTTTTTAATATCCCTGTTCACCACTTAATGCCTATGGACAGGTTCATTGCTGTTTTTCCCAGAATTATTATTATTACTATTATTCTAAGATTGATTTATTTAATGTACCTTGGAGTTTTGCCTGCATGTATGTCTGCATGAGGGTGTCAGAGCCCCTGGAACTGGAGTTACAGACAGTTGTGAACTGCCATGTGGGTGCTGAGAATTGAACCAAGACCGTTGGAAGAGCAGCCAGTACTCTTAACCACTGAGCCATCTCTCCAGCCCCTTTCCCAGAATTATCAAACCTGGGTCTAAGCGATCATCTCTCTTAGTGCTTCTTCAAGGAAGAGACAAATATAAATGAAGCAGGCTTAGGTAAAAGCCTAGTAGGGGCTTCCCTATCCCTGTGGAACTGTTCAAGGTCAGTCTGGGCTTCATGTGAATTCCAGGCAAGTCTGGACTACAGAGTGAAAACTTTTCAAAAAAAAAAACAAAACAAAACAAAAAAAAACCCTAGCTAAGCCAAACCACCTAGGAAAATGCCAAAAGCAGGCTGTATGAGCTCATCCTGCAAGCAATAGGTTTATTACATGAAAGATAACTTACAGGTAGGTACCCCCTAAAAGCATTCATTCATTCATTCATTCATTCATTCATTCATTCATTCATTCATTCATTCATTCATGTGTATGGGTGTTTTGCCTGCATGTATGTCTGGGTACCACATGCATGCCTGGTGCCCGAGGAAGCTTTGTCAGAAACCCTGGAACTGGAGTTACAAATGATTGTGAGCTGTCACTGATGCTGAGAATTGAACACACCTTCTGGAAGAGCAGCCACTGCTCTTAACTGCTGAACTAGCTCTCCAGCCAATATGGAGGTACTTTTAATAGCAGCAAAAAACCAACCAAACAAACAAAAACTCCAAAACATTTCCAAAACTATTAGAAAGGCATTCACTTAACAATTCAGGAATTATTAAAAATCTTCCTGATTGGGCCTGTTCTCCTACAGCCTGCTCACATGCTAAAGGCTGTAAGTCAAGACTGACCGTGCTGCCAGGAGAAATGAACATGTCTGAAGCATTTATCGGTAAGGATGTGTGAGACAGCTCAGCAGGTAAAGGTGACTGCTGTCAAGTCTGATGACCCAATCGACTCCTCACAGCTGTCCTCTGGGCTGCACACGTGTTGTGGCCTGTGTGCCCCACCCCAACGAACTGAAAATATACTAAGAAAACTTAATAGGTCTGTGCTACCCAGGGATGAGGCCGAGATCAGGCTTGCGGCAGAACTCTGTACCAGAGCCACCACTGGCTCAGCGGCAGTCAGCACAGGCCTCTGAGCCTCAACAACTCTCTGGTTTCTGAGCTGACTCGTACTCTGTAAAAGCCATCCACTCATTCCTGTGGCTCCGTAATGGTGACACAGCAAGATTTCAAGACCTCTTAGTCTCTTTCATCTGAGAGGCTCATAGTACCTCTCCTGGAGTTCAGCAAGGCTTCTCTTCCGTACCAAGGTGTGAAGCTTTTACTGTTCACACAGGACACAGCTCTTCTGTGTGGGAGAGGAGCAGGCAGGAAAAGTACCGCTGGGTACAGAGGTAGAACCAGAGCCAACGGCATGGAAACCACTTCCTGGCTTGGGGTATCCTGCAGCTGTGGCTGCTGGTCCACAGTCTACAGGCTTTGGGTGTAACTATGGCAGAGGAGTAGAAAGTAAAAAAATCTACATCAGGATTAACATGTTGCTTGTTAGGTGTTGGTGGCTCATGCCTTAATCCCAGCACTCAGAAGGCAGAGGCAAGTGGATCTCTGTGAGTTCAAGGCCAGCCTGGTCTACAGAGTGAGTTCAGGACAGCCAGGGCTACACAGAGAAACTCTGTCTGGAAAAACAACAACAAAACATGTTGGGGCTAGGGAGTTAAAAGCATTGGCTACTCTTGTAGAGGTTTGGGTCCCATCACCTACATGGTGGTTCACACTGTCCAGGGCAGCCCACATCCTCTTCTGGCCTCCTTGGACATCCAACATGCACATGGTGCTCACACATTCATGCAGGCAAAACACTCAAACATATAAATAATAATAAATCTTAAAAGAGAGAGACAGATTAACAAGTAAAAGAAGCCAGTTTTCAGAGGAAAATTGGAAGCTCTTCCTAACCCTGAATCACTGTGTGAACAGAGCTCAATCAAGTACAAACCTAATACAAAAAGACCACACACTGCCTGGCTAGATGCTTTTGGGGCTCCTCAGCTCACCATCCCCTTCCATTCTTGGGGGGTGCTTTGCCCTTTCTTAGTAACCTATTTCTATCACCTCTAACTTTGAAAGCACAACTCTCCCTCCGTCTCTCCTCCTGGTCGCGACTGGGACTTTCACCTTACAGATACTATTTTTCTCTGAAACTAATAAAGTTATCCTCATGATTCCTTCTGAGTCTGTTTCTAAGTTCTTTTATTGTTGAGACTAAGAACCCTATAAGGGAACCTCAGTTTCCCCACTAACAACCATCCTACCCACCACAGCACTAAGCATTTCAGCAGCCCACCACATGCTCTAGGCCATAGGGACCAAAGCCTGGGTATGCACCATACCTATAGAGAAAGTGAGGCCTTTCCCTGCAAATTCCTTCCTCAGGTCTGCTACAAATTTTTGTCGTATATTTTCTTTCTGAGAGAAACAAAAAGATACCAATTATCCACTGCATCGCAGTGTAGAAGCACTTTAAACACTGGCCATAGGCTACATGGTTTGGCTTCTTTTCTCAAACCTGGCTGTTGCCCAAGTATGTCTGAGAACTCACTTTATCAAGTTCGTAGAACTCAATTCGTTCCTCTTGGCTGCAGCTTCTTCCAATAGGGGACACGTTCAACATGCCATTTCGGAATTCGATGAAAGTTCCCCTGGGGAGGAAAAGCCCCCAAATACAAAATACCTTATTTACTTAGGCAACATTACATTCTACACAGCGGGAGTATGTGACCCAGGTTTCCTATGGGCTGTGTGTGTTCCATGGAAGCTTTGAGCCACATAGTATGATAGACACAAAATGTAGCTAATCCAGATTGAGCTGGATAGAGATTTAGCATGGAAAAGCAATGGAATCATCATTCACAGATTTTTTTTCATGTGTGTATGTATGTGTGCATGTAAATGTGAATGCACAAGTGGAAGCCAGAGGTCCATAGTGGGTGTCTTCACTGATTGCTCTCCACCTTATTTTTTGAGACAGGGTCTCTCACTGAGTCTGGAGCTCCCCAATTCACCAACAATGCCTGATCAGCAAACCCCAGAGATCCACCTGTTTCTGCCTCCTCAGCAATGGGCTTGTAAGCATGCATACCAGACCTAGCTTTTTTGAGGGTGCGAGGGAGCAAGCTCAGGTACCCTGGCTTAAGCAGAAAGCATTTTACTGGCTGACCTACCTTCCCAGCCAAAGTAAAAGGAGATGTAGTAAAGGAAACAAAACTATGAACTCCTAAGAGGAGGAAGGACCCCAAGGGAGGAATACCCCACACCCCACTTTTTGAGACAGGGTCTCATGTAGCCCAGGCTGTCCTTGAACTCATCATGTAGCTGATGATATATGACCTGGAGCTTCTGATTCTCCTACTTCCACCTCCCCAGTTTTGGGATTACAGACTTAAGGCACCCTGTCTCCCTAGTCCTATTTTACATCGACTATTTGATAAAATGATGTTTTGGATATCCTGGGTTAAACAGAGCGTGTTACTACAGCTACTCTGTGGTTCATTGTTCCCACTGTAACTGATTACAGCATCTCACAGTAATAAAGGGCTGGAAGAGGATCCCAGCATAAGAACACTCACTCCTTCAGGAGTCTCACATCTGTTTCTGAGGCATCTGCTTTGCTAGTGAGCCCCTGAATAGACTGATGTCATTAACAGAGGATACAGACAGGTTCTTAGACTATGGAGCCGCGCTAATGACTCAGGAAATCTTATTCAGAGGCAGACTGCTCATTCCGGCTTGATGTGATCACAGAAAAGGAAGCAGGCCAGGGAAGATGGCTAGAAACTTATTTAAATCATGTTTTTAGTTTTAGACTCAGAATACACATTTAGATTTTTGTTTTGTTTTTCGAGACAGGGTTTATCTGTGTAAAAGTCCTGGCTGTTCTGGAACTCACTCTGTAGACCAGGCTGGCCTTGAACTAACAGAGATGCCTGCCTCTGCCTTCCAGGTGCTGGGATTAAAGGCCAGTGCCACCATGCTTGGCCTAAAAAAATTTTTTTAAATTTATTTTGTGAGAGGCAGGTCGGATAGGTGGACAACTTGTAGGAGTTGAGACTATTCTTTCTTTCTTTCTACCACATGGGTCCAGGGAATGGGGTACCTGCTCCATCACTTTGGTCCCTTGAGACAGTCTCTCCATGAGCCTGGCTAGATGGCGGGTCAGCAAGTCCAATGGTCCTGTCTCTGTCCTCCACAGTGCTCAGACAGGCGTCCATGGGACCACAGCTAACCTCTTCTGTGAGGTCTGGGGATGTGAACCCGGCTCTCCATTCTGTAGAGCAAGCACTCTTCCTCACTGAGCCTAGAACCCTCTCATCCCTACAATGTGATTTTTAAGCAGTGCAGGCCAAACACATTTGGATTTATATGACATCTAGCCTGAAGGCCTCCTTAAGACTTTCAGACTGTGGGCTTCTGATACTTTTTAAAATTATGTGTGCTCCTGTATGTGTGTGTATCTGTGTGTGTTGTATGTATGTGTATGTAATGTATGTGTGCACATAGTGCACAGCTAGTGTTTGACACTGTTTTCACCACTGTTCTCCAGCTTATCTTCTGAAACAGTCTTTCCTTGAAGCCAGACTTCAATGCCTGACCCCAGCGACTCTTTGTCTCCACTCCCTCATGGCTAGAGTTTCAGATGACATGACCATACTCAGTTGATGTGGGTACTAGGGATCTGAACTTTGGCCTCATGCTGGTGTGGCAGGTACTTTAGTTACAGCAGTCTCCGAGACCCTTTTTTTGAGATAAGATCTCACTCTGTAGCCCAGGTGGACCAGGAACTCACTATGAAGCCTAAAATGCACAGCAATTCTCCTGCCTCAGCTTCCTACATCGTTGACGCTCACACCTGCCCCTATCCCGTTTTGTTAAAAACAGAGTCTCACTGTGTAGTTCTGGATGTTCTGGAACTCACTATGTTGATCATTCTGGCCTCTAACTCACAGAGATCTGCTTGCCTTTGCCCTCCGAGTGCTGGGACTAAAGGCGTGCACCACCACACCTGGCCTCTTCCCTTTTTACTTTTATGTTTTTTGTTTTTTTTTTTCTGAAATAGAAGTCTAGCTATAACTCCCAAGACGGCCCTGAACTTGTGACCTTCCTGCCGCAGCCTCTCCAGCACTGGGATCACAGGTAGACGCCACCACATCAGGCTGTGCTCTTTGCATGCTGTTTCACAGGATGCTCTCCTGACAGCCCTGAGCCACAGGTTTCAGTGTCCAGCACTCATCACACGGGCAGCCATCGTTTTTTACAACTCTTCATGTGGCTGGCTATACAGACTGATTTCCAAGTAGCTGGATTGAGTGCTGGCTTCTGGCTGTGATCATGAATGCACCTGGAGAACCCACTGCTCTATATTTCAGAAGAGCCTCCTTTGTTCAGAGTGAGCCCACCTTTTCTTAGGGAGTTTAATTTTTGCAATGTAGCTCAGACAGTAGTTGATGAGGTCCTGGATCACTGCCTCTCCCAGATGACCTTGAATACTCTAGGTAAACAAAGCATGAGTTAGATGATATAACAGGAAGTACTTTTAAAGTGGCTTCATGGCAAAGCCAGATCCTCCGACACTGAAGAGGCCACAGGCTGGCCAGCCGCGACAGTGACACATCCTGCTGTCCTTTCACCTCTTCCTCTCTTCTATTGGCGGAAAACGTCCGGCAAACACAGACACCCAGCAGAAGCATCTTCTGCTTTATTACTCAGGGACGAGTCCATTCTCTCTCACACACTTCCCGGAAGGGCCAGAGAGCTTACTGCAATTATTCTTAATGCTAAGTACAGCTTCTCTTCCGCGGCCCCTGGGTGAAGGGCCTGCTCTAGCTTTGGCTATTCTAATAGAAACATGGCACTCAAGCAGCTTTGAAAGGCCATTATAAAGATGCAGTCACTATCTGGAACAAGCAACAGCTGCGTGGGCAAAATTCAAACTTAACAAAGAATACAGTGTGAAGATTCACTCCCTCCCACCCCGCGATCCCCAGCATGTGCCCGGAGGCATTCACTCATTATCACATGTAATGTGTTGTTCTATGTCCCCCTTTTCTTTACTGTTTTTATAAATTTTGAGACAGTGTCTCATTAAGTTGCCAAGGTTGGTCTTGAACTCACTTTCTAGCCCGGCAGCCCCTGAACTTTTGACCTTCCTGCTCCAGCCGTGCTGGCTTACATATGACATATTAGTAGTAATACAGAATGAGCTGTATCCTTGAGAACTTACCTGTTTACACAAAAGCTTCCCATCTTTGTATGCTACCAAGCCATTCTCTGGAAACACATAATCATACTTCTCAATCACTACAACCAAAACAAGATAAAACTGAGGATGCATTGAATAGAAACTGGCCTTTCTCTGTCTTCCTCAACACCCACCCCCAAGGACCCCACTGAGCACCTGCAGGCTGTGCCAGCCCTTCTCATCAAGAGGCTGGGGACTCTGGCAGCAGCTCTGACTCCAGGTCTAAGGGATGACAAAAGAGCTGCAGATGGACCCTGCCTCCAGCCTGCCAGTGTGCACAGTAAGATGCCGGCCCATCCCTGTCGTGAGCCAGCAGGGAACAAGGGACAAAGAGGACGGCCACACTCTGCTCTCAGGCTTGCCAGGTCAGGTCTGCCAGGCTGAACTTTTTAAAACATTTATTATTTTGTGTGTACGTGTGCATTTGGGCATGTATATGCCATGGTGTGTGTAGGTCAGAAGACAATTTGTAGGGTTGCTTCTCACTTCTATGTGTGTTCAGTACTGGACTTGGGTTGACAAGTGCCTTCACCCACTGAATAATCTCCACCCCAAAATAATTTTTTTATAAAAATAAAAATTTTAAAAAGCTGTTTTAGCTGGGCGGTAGTGGCGCATGCCTTTTATCTCAGCACTTGGGAGGCAGAAGCAGATGGATCTCTGTGAGTTCGAGGCCAGCCTGGGCTACAAAGTGAGTTCCATGAAAGGTGCAAAGCTACACAGAGAAACCTTGTCTCAAAAAAACAAAACAAAACAAAACAAAACAAAACAGCTCTTTTTAAAAGATGATTCTTATACTCATTTAGACTTGAAGACTAGCATATAACCCACAAAAGTTCTGACTGCCTCTGCTTCCCAAGTGCTGGGACTAAAGGCATGTGTTATTATGCCCACCTATTTGTTTTTTAGACAGGACCTCACGCAGCCCAGGCTGGCCTTGAACTCATTCTATAGTCCAGCATGACCTCAAGCTCACAGCAAGTCTCCTGAATGCTCAGATTACAGGTATGTCCACCACACATGCTGATGCAAGGTGAGCTCTTAGGTGCCTTCTCGTATGAGTGTTTTGACTCTCGTTACATACATCTTCTCTCAAACACCCAGCTCTGCCACAGTGATACAAACCTCTCAGAGCACGTTGTTAAGTACACTCCAGAAGCGGGAATGGTAATCACCCTGTGACAGGATTTTCTGGGCTGAATATGCCTCGTTATGATGCTGATAGCATTTCTAAAGAGAGCAGCTCTGAGGAAGATGAAGTGGAATATGTCCTACAGACTGCAGAGATGACTCTTCCCAGTATCTGATCTGACCCACAGACTTGTGCTTTCAGATAAGACATGCTGAGTCCCCAATCATGGGACCGTGATCCCCAGGACACACTGGGCAATGTCTGGAGAGACCTCAGGTTGTCACACTGCTTGTGGGTGCCTGTGAGCATGCACTCTACTGACAACTAGTGGCCAGAGATGGTACTAGGTATCCTACAATGAACTATCCCGCCCAAATGTCCTTAGGACTAACATGACTCTGGGACAACAGTGTGGTTTTTGTCTATTTTAAACTCATGATGGCTTAAAAAAAAGAAAGAAAGCTGAGTGATGGTGACACATGCCTGTAATCCCAGCAATCAGGAGGCAGAGGCAGGCGAATCTCTGAGTTCGAGGCCAGCCTGATCTACAGAGTAAGTTCCAGGACAGCCAGAACTACATAAAAAAAACTGTCTCAATAAACAAACAAACAAACAAAAAAATTATTTGGTATGTATGAGTACCTCCATGCATGTATGTGCACCTCATGGGACTGGAGTTACAGACAGCTGTGACCTGCCATGTGGGTCCTGGGAACTGAACCTGAGTCCTCCATAAAAGCAGCAAGTGCTCTTAACTGCTAAGCCATCTCTCCAGCCCCATCTGACCTCAAACTCCTGACTCCCCTGTCTCAGCCTCCCAAGTGCCTGGCTCACAGGAGAGCATTGCACACTACAACCAACAGTGAAGAACTAGCCGTTCACCAGCCTCTCTGCTTACTCTTTCTCACAGGCCAGCTATCTCAGAAGCCCCGGGAAACAGGTTCATAACAGTCTGTACAGCAGCAAAGACTTGAGTTTACATCAGAGTGTACTCCCTCAGCAGGGTTGGGCACTAGAATTTTGGTGGGATACTTGCTAAAATGTATGCCCAGGTCTTAGAAACGTGCTGTTCTATCTCCAGGAAAGAAGCCAGAAGACTCTCCAGCTATGTGTGGTGGTTGATGTCTGTTACTCCAGCACTCAGGAAGACAAGGTGAGTTGGAGCCCAGCCTCGGCTACAAAGTGAGACCCTATCACCAAGGCTCTCTAGCTTCCCAGTCCTGTGCTGGAGACCCTGGTGATGCAGGGAGCCTAGGGACGCTATGATTAGGGACGCTGGAACACTTGCCTTCAGGGCTACAGGGACAAGGTACTGAGACCAGAGGCATGTACAAATTTGAGTGGACAGCACAGGCAGGAGGTGGGGCCCGGGCTGCAGTGAGAGAGCAGTGAGGGACATGTGAACACTCGAGGGAGAAAAGGTTCCAGAAGTGAAGACACAGACATGCACGACCTTCAAGGCGAGTCTATCTGTACACGTGAGTAAAGGGTTCTGTCAAAGGTCACAGAACTCACTTTTCTAGGACTGAAGCAGAGGCCAAACAAGGGCAGAGACAATGTCTCCCCAGAGAGGGCAGAAAGTGTGCCACCTAAGTGACAGTGGCTTGGGAGTGCAGGGGACACGGGCGGCAGGTCTCCGCATCCTCGTGAGAAGTTCATCTTGCACTACAGTGTAATTAGCACTTACCATCATTTCCCAGTTGCTCTTGCACTTTCTCAAAATCCGACCCACCTACCACTCCAATTTTGGTCTTCTGCCTCAATGTTCGTAGGAAGCCATCCATTTCTTTTGTAATTTTCTACATGTCAGGAAGGAAAATAGGATGATTTTGAGTGACAATAATAGGATGAAAATTGCAAACTAATTTAGCTCCTATTTTTACACAAGCCCAGTGCTGTTACTAGGAAAAACTTACTATTTAGTTATATCTGTTCACACTTGTCTACTCACATATGTATGGTTACAGGGTTGGTTGTTCTCTGTCCTGTGCAATGACTTGCTTTTTCTATTTTATGACGTGGTGCCCTTTTTATGCTAATACATCTAGCTTATTCTTTTTTGTCTGTTTTGTACCAATATTTATCTGTGCACCACATGCCTGCAGTGCCTGAAGAGGGCAGAGATCACCCGGAACTGGAGTTACAGGTGCTTGTGAGCTGCTATGTGGATGCTGGGTCCTCTGGAAGAGCAGCCAGTGCTCTTAACCGCGGCACCATCCCCCCAATCTTTTGTTCTTTAAAGGTGTTTTATATTACATGATACAATTTAATAGTCAGTAGTGGGTATAGTGTCACAAGCCTGTAATACCAACACTTGGGAATTGGAGGCAGGAGGATCAGGAACTCAAGGCCAGCTTTGGCTACATAGTTAGATTTCCTAAGACTGTCTTTTAACAGACAGACAAACAAACAAAAATACAAAGGGGTGAAGTAGCATGATGACCGTGGCTTACAAAGTTACTAAGCAAGAGGAGATACAAAGTTATTATGATGAAATGTCAGCTGCTTTTAACATAAGTGATAGGGATATGGGTTATATACAGAGATATGGGTTCTCTGTTCACCATTTTTGTCAATGACCTCTGTGTGTGAGATTTTTCAGGATGCCCGAGTTGGAAAATGATTCATGGAGACCTATGCCCCACCCCCTTTTTAAAAGCTTTTCTCAAGTCTTACTGTTTAGGGATGGAATGACATTTGGAAGAAAGCACCCAGGCAGACAAACTTCTACACAAACAGGGAAATGTGCATGCAGACCTCTGGAGTCCACGCTAAAGAGAATGAACCCATGCAGGTCACATTATGTCACAACAACTGCAATAAAAGTCAACCTGCTCTTCCTCTTCCAGACTGCACTATGATTAGTGATGTCTAAGAATACACATGGATGAAGGCAGGAAAGGCTGATGATAAATAGATCTGCTACTAAAATATTTTAACCACAGTACCCAGCACATAGGAAATTTTTCTTTCAAATTACAGTTTTATTGTTACAACTGCTTATGATCACTGTAAGCATATTGTTCCAAATGTCTACAAGAGAATACATTCTGGATCACCTGGCTTCTTTGCTATCCTATACCTCATGCTTATCTATCCCCATTTACCTAGGAAACAGAAGCACTTTCCCAGTAGCATATCTAGTACCTGGAGTGCCCTCCACCCTAGAACACTGAAAGGAAAAAACAAACGGGACAACTAACAGTACCCTGAGGCCCAGGGACTTTAACCACAGCTGCTGTAAGAAGCTGAGGCGGTCAGGATTTCACTGGTTTCAGTTTCCTTATGTTTGAATGGTAGTAGCTGGGCAGTAGTGGTTCACACCTTTAATCCCAGCACTCAGGAGGCAGAGGCAGGCGGATCTCTGTGAGTTCAAGGCCAGCCTGGTCTACAGAGTGAGTTCCAGGACAGCCAGGGCTACACAGAGAAACCCTGTCTCGGGGGAGAAAATGGCAGTACTAACTATCCTGCCCAGGATGAAAGACGGTGGAATACTGCAAATTCAGCACTGCACAAAGGCTTAGGAATATAGACTCTTGACCACTATGGCTCCTGGGCCAAACTGAACAACAGTTTGTTTCTATAATAACTGCATTTTTAGTGTGTATGTAAATACATGTACATGTGCCACAATGTACGAGGAGAGGTTAGAAGACAGCTGTGGGAGTTGGTTCTCTCCTTCTACCATGTGGGTTCCAGGAATTGAACTCAGGTCCCAAGGCTTAGGTTAAATGACTCTACCCATTAGCCATCTCAGTGGCCTCTGTAATACATTTATTAGAACACAGCTACTCAGTTTACATATGGTCTATGGCTGCTTTTGTACTAACGTTGAGTAGTTACTACAGGATATGTTCTACAAAGACAAAAACACTTAATATATGGCCCTTTACAAAACAGAATTCTGCTTCCAGTTCTAGACTATTGGCGTTTGTTGTTTTGAAACAGGTTCCCCAGGTTTGCCTCAAACTCACTACATAGCCCAGGCTGGATCTGAACCCTCAAATCTTCCTGCAGGGATTAAATCCTGTGCTACCTGCTCACCTCACTGTTGACTTAACTCATTAGTGTGTACTGAGCAGTGAAGCTGAGTCAGAAAGGGCTCTGGAGAACTTGTGGTAGAATGTTATCACTGGACAGATCAAACTGTGGCTCAGAAAGGTAGAATGAGGTAGAGAAGGGGTTGGGTGGTGGTTTATCTAAAAGTAAGACTATCTCGGTGCCAGGTGGGGGATACTGTTAACCAGAGAGACCTGAGACCCCCAAACAATACAGGCTATTGCCATTGCTCTTGGCTGGCACCCTAACTACATGGTAAGTCCCATACTGCTGAAGACACAGCACACCTTGGTTGCAAGACCCCAGAGGAGTAAGGCTGGAACTGACATACAGAGCTTTCACAGTGCCGGGAGGTGCCATGCAAACCGCTGGGGGAAGAAAAGTCATTAACGGCGCTTCCCAGCCATGGATCCTGCATGCTACAGCACCGACTTGCCAGGCAATAAGTGCTCACTTGTGCAATGGCTGCATGATTGTTATGGGGGTAACCAAATCACTTTCTGATTGGACATGAGGCCTGTTCCACAGGAGGGAATTAATGCCTGGTACAATAAACTTAGTCAAAAGCCTATGGCTTAGGAGCTCATAGACCCTATGGGGGAACCTCTACTACTGTTGCTTTGCCAAATGAACTTCTTGTCAAACTGCCTCTGAATATTTATGTCCACACCCATAGGTTAATGCTGCTCTCAACCTTGGTACGAAGTTTCTTTTGTAGTGGGCAGTGGTTAAAGCAGACCTGGTCAGAGTGCTAAGAGTAAGTGCCCTAAATGGGACACCTTATCAGCCCTGCCAAAGCTGGGGGCAGGAAGAATGTAAGAGCCAGAGGATGAGGAGGAATGTTGGGAAATGCTGTCTTCTGGACATATATGGCGTTGCCCTCATGAATTCACAGCAGCTGTGATTACCTGCACAAGATTAGTCAGTTAACTTTCCAGCATGGATGGTGCTGCTGGAATGTTGCCTGAGACTGTGTGTGTGTGTGTGTGTGTGTGTGTGTGTGTGTGTCACTAAGTAGACTTCATGAATTATTAAAATAAAAAAAAGACATGGAAATGAAGAGGGATGTGTGGGCAGGTTTCCTCCATTGGAACACAGAGAAGTTGGGGGTGAATATGATCGAGATACACTGTACACATGTAACTGCCAAATAAAAAAATTATTATTATTATTTTGATTTTTTGAGACAGGGTTTCTCTGTGTAGCTTTGGAGCCTGTCCTGGAACTCGCTCTGTAGACCAGTCTGGCCTCGAACTCACAGAGATCCGCCTGCCTCTGCCTCCCGAGTGCTGGGATTAAAGGCGTGCCACGGGGTGGGGGGTGGTTTTAAAGATGTATCTAAGATTACACTTAACAGGCTTCTGGAACACACCCCTACGAAATCCGAAATGGGTGGGGTAGAGATAGCGACATTCAAGCTATTTGAGCCCAGTCTCAAGTTTGAATTACTCCTGCTCAATCACCAATCTGTGCAAAGGAGGCAGAGAGGCTGTCATCACCAGACTGACCCCACAAAAACTTATCTTTGACCATAACAACAAGGTTTTTGAGGGGAAGGAAGTTCTATTGGACCCTGCATGCTCTCAGCAGACAGCCTGGGGACCCCATCACTGCAGGCTGGTGGAAGCGGCTCACCTTTGCGGCTTGATCTGGGCACGGCACTGTCACGAATTTCTGTTATTCTCACCAGCACCCCATGCAACAGGCAATACACCCGCTTAAAGGGGCTCCGAGAAAGTGATTTGCTCAAGGTCAGACAGCTGAAAACCTGCCTTTGATACACAGCCAAAGGAGACACAGCAGGTGTGTGGGGGGGGGGGCGCTAAGCTGGAGTTACAATCCAGGTCACTAGTCCCCAGGGCCCCCGAAGCAATCCGGACCCAAACTTTCCGGTTTTGAACGCGTTTCCTGCTCGGAAGGGGTTTTTTGACCCCCTCTTCCTGCGCACCCCGCTCAGGACCCTCGTCTCCTGGTTCCCGGGTGGTCGTCACCACGGTCTGGACGCTGCACGGGCTCCGCTCCACCGCCGCGAGCCTCCCGGGCGCCGCCTACCTGCCGCGGGGCAGTCAGGGTCCCATCCACATCGAAGAGGCAGAGCGCGGCCATGTCTGCAGTCAGAAGACTCGTTGGCACCCGGAACTCCACCCGGAACTTCCGGGTCCGCTCGGAGCCCCGTGGCCCAAGGCACGACGGGAAGGGGAGGGTTTCCCAATGGCTCACCCAACATTCACAGGGTTTGAACTACAGTCCCCCAAGATGTAACACAGAAACTCACTTTCTTTCTTTATTTCTTTTTTTCTAAGTTTGCTCATAAGCTCTTCAGGTTTCCGGAACGAAGTCGGTTTACTGCTCATTGGAGGAGACGGGATCATGGTAGGAAGGGCGGTGAAAGGGGGTACGCGTTTAGAGGGCCCCGATCGGGCCTAGGACTGGCAGGAAGGGTGCCCGGGCCGCCGATTCGGGAGGTCCACCGGTGGAAGGCCCGGGGTAATGATCTGTTATTTCCCAGCCTCCTCCGTTCCCCTTGGGTCACGTGGGCGGCCAGAGTCGCTGCAGCTCCCAGAGCGCGCATCAGTTTCAGGGCCTAACATGTCTCGCTCAGCATATTCTGAGGCTTCCCTTGGAAAGGTGAAGAAGGTGCACAGTTAGTGTCTGTAAGAGCCAGGATCATAGCCTTCCTCTGACTCCAAAGCTCAAACTTTGCTCACTATGCTGCTCACTCCAGAGAACCATTGTGCAATGTGCTGAGGGCTTCCGTGTCTCACGTTTCTGCTGTGTCCCCTTTCCCAGCCAGGCTAATAGAAAGCAGTTCTAACGTATAAGGCAGTCGGAGAACTGCAAAGGTACTGTGATAAGTATCCCGCAGTTTTGATACTTGGGTTTCCCACTATGACACCGATTGGTTTACTTCTTGAGGAAGTGTCCCACAGACTTGTGGGCCGAAGTTCGAGTCCACTGTTAGCTCGTCAGTAGATCTCTGTTGAAGGTCTGTAACTAAACCTTCCCTGTGTTTATTTGGACCTGCCTAGGGTAAAGGACTGGCCTGAGAGTCAGACTCTGCCCTGTCCGTTCTGTTGAGTTTCCTTGCTTTTTTTTTTTTTTTTGCTTAGTTAAAAAAAAAAAAATCAAACAACTTGTGTGTTCAGTTCGTGTGCATATGCTTGTGCTATGGCATGCGGGGCGCGGGGAGGGGGGACGGGACACATCAAGGACGTCTTTGCATAAGTAACTTTTCTTCCTCTACCATGTTGGCTCCAGGGATCAAATTGAAGTCACCTGGCTTGGTGGCAAGCACCTTTACTTGATGGGATATCTCACTGGCTGGGATTAGGATTTTTGTTTGTTTGTTTATTTGTAAAAAACAGGAGTACGGTACTTATCCACAGTAGAATTTCACACAAAAAAATAAAGCATCTGGCTTTATCACTTCCTCTGGCAGTCCTGGTGGCTTTCTAGGGTTGATTGGAACCTTTCTAGGGAATGCTTTGCCTTGTTCATTGTGTGATTATCATGGTTGAGTTCTGAAAGAAACCTCTTTCTTTTCCAGGCTGCCCTCCTTCATGCAGTGCCAAAGTTTCAGGGCCCAGCTGCATGGGGGAGGCCTCTTCTCCGACTGTGGTGCTGCACTGGGCAGGGAGATCCCAAAAGGTGGGTGGGGAGGAGGTCTCCCACCTCACAGGAGAAGCCACCAGGCACAGAGACTGAGAAATTCCACATAATCTATCGATTCTATGCCATCAGAGTACTTGGCTTTGTATCTCGCCTGAAGTTGGCGCAGACAGCTGTGACTGTGGCCGCCATGCCCCCGGGCTTGTACTGGTACTCACAGGGCCTCCTGACCCTCAATTCACTCTGCCTTGTGAGTGGGATCTGCAGCTTTGCTCTGGCCATGCTGTGTTGGATGAGCTACTTCTTCCGGAGGCTGGTGGGCATCATGTATGTGAATGAGTCAGGTACCATGCTTCGAGTGGCCCACCTGACCTTCTGGGGGTGGCGACAGGACACTTACTGTGCTGTGTCAGACATGATACCCCTGTCAGAATCCAAGGACCAGGTCCGGGATGTGTTGATTCGGATCCAGCAATACAGTGGCAAGCAGACCTTCTACCTTACCCTGCGCTATGGCCGAATCCTGGACAGAGACCGTTTCTCACAAGTGTTTGGACCGCTGAGCACACTTAAGTAAAGAACAGCAACTCGGCCTCCTGTAGCCTTGGGTGCACTTGGAGTTTAGACAGGAAGGCCAAGAACATTGATAAGGCAGAAGCTAATAACCAGGACTGGAGCTGAAGCCCAGTTGGTATGTCTAGCATGCAGGAAGTGAAACCCTGGGTTCAGTCCCTGGAACTGCATATAACCAGGCATGGTTGTGTGTGCCTGTTCTTTCAGCACTGGAGGAAAAGTTCAAGGTTTTCTTGGGACAAAAAAGGGAAGATATTAGCCAACTTCAGGGAAAAGCCCTTAGTGGAACATTGTTCTGAATAGGGCACTCCAACAGAGAGTGGCTAGAAGTTTTATGAAGAGGCACTTCTTGGAGGAATGCTATGCCAAGATCACCGAGGCAGCCCATTGCTATGAAAGCAGAAGACAGGAGGATTGGCAGAGGAACACAGACTGGAGTCTGGAGACCTGGGTTCTGCTGGACCTCAGCTCCTCAACCTGGGGCAGGGTATTGAGTTTCTGAGCCTTGAATTGCACTCTGAAATGGAAGAGCCTTCCTCTCTCATGGGGATGAATATGAAAATAACCAATAATGGCTGAGGCTGGGCTTAGTTAGAGCTCTTGCCTAGCATGTATAAGGTCCTAAGTTCCACTCAACACCACAGAATGGGCAAACCCAGTAAATGCCGTGTGCTGTGTAAGTCAGCAGCTCAGAGCTTAAAACATGGAGGAGGCTTCCAGGCTGCACCACTTGTATTCACCAAAGTTAAATGGCCGGTGTTGAAGCCCAGGGTGGGCTTGTCTTTTTCCCACCAGGAAGTCACCACACCAGCTGGGGTAGGGACAGCACCAGCTGAGAATGTGTTGACCACCAGGAGGTCCAGGGCCGCTCACACTGGGGAGCTTTGCATTGTCATCAGGATAGAAGAACTCTGTCCAAGCAACAATTTATCAGCAGAAGGAGACTGTATGCTGCTTTTCATAATAACAAACACATGCTTACTGGGTGAATTGTACCTGCATAAAAGGAAAGCAGCCGTGATCTTTGTAATTTGACCGTTCAAAATGCTTTGTTTTGTAGCTTTTTAGTAATTCCGTCTATCTCTCTCTCTCTCTCTCTCTCTCTCTCTCTCTCCCTCCCTCCCTCCCTCCCTCCCTCCCTCCCTCCCTCCTTCTTTCCTTTTCTTCTTGAAACAGAGTTTCTCTGTGTAACAGCCCTGGCCATCCTGAAACTTGCTCTGTAGATCAGGTTGGCTTCAACTCACAGAGATCTGCCTGGCTCTACCTCCTGAGAGCTGGGATTAAAGGTGTGTGGCACACTGCCCAGACAGTAGTTTCATTTCTTGAAGAATTTTTCTTTTAAAATTACATGTATTATTTGTGTGTGTACCACTGCGTATGTAGAGGTTGGAAGACAACTTTTGGAGTCCTTTTCCCCATACCGTTCGGGTCCTGGGATTAAAGTTGGGTTGTCAGGCTCGGCAGCGAACACCTCTGCCCACTGAACTGTCTTGCTGTTCCTCTCCCCATTCTTCATTGCTGTAAAGTAAGCAGAGCGTGAACAAAGCTAACAACAACAGATTGGGGGGGGGGGGGAGCCAGGGAGAACACACCACGAAGCCTCAACCTTTCACAAAGAACTACAGGCAACTTAAGCATTCTGAAAGCAGGAGGAAGTCTTCCTCAGCAAAGAGCACACTAATTAATAATCCAATAAGAAATGGCCCTGAAAACATACACATACAAGTATAGACTGAGCAGGCTATATTTAGAAACATGTACGTATGGGAGGGAGGAAAGGGAAGAGGAAAAGGATGTAATTATACTGTAATCTAAAATAAAAAAAAAAACCTTAAAAATGTGCATATCAAATTGTAGCCATTTTATTGTTCAGGGGCATGAAATACATCCTCAGTATTGTATAGCCATCACTGCAGTCTAATCTAATGCTTCCACTGGAGAGACAGAGGCAGGCTTGAGGCCCCCCTGACCTACAGAACCAGCTCCAGGACAGCCAGGACTGTTACACAGAGAAACCCTGTCTCAAAACAAATAAACATGCAAAATTAGTGCTTGACTGTCCCAACTGGGATCTTGGTACTCAGGCCACAGATGTCATCTGCCTTCACCCTCTCTGTCTCCACCTGTTTTAAGGCAGCGCTAACCCATCTCTGAATTTATTATTCTGACATCTGTAATAGAACCACGGTATATTTCCTGTGTTTGGCAGCTTTTGGTGTAATGTTTTCAAGGTGTTGAGTCTCCCAGAGCTCAATACTTATGCGTCAGTGAGAATGTGAGTTTATTCTTCAGGACTTGACTCTGAGGTGAGAGAGAGGGAGAGGAGTCTACCAGTTCAGCAGGTCGGTGGATGTTTGGGTTGTCTCCACCCCAGGCTATGGTGAAAAACACTAATGTGAACACTACACAGGTGCCTGTTGGTGTCCCTGCTGTGGCTTTTGGGAAAATATTGGGAAGGAAGTAAAAACACAGGGGGTGCCTATTAGGTCCCAATATCCCGGAAGCTGCCTTCCCTGTGATCTAACTTCCAGTATGTTCCATCTATTTTTATTTTTTATTTTTATTTTTTTGTCTAAAGTGCTTTTTAAAAATTTTATGTATTTTATGTATATTGCTGTTTTTTGTCCACTTGAGAGTCTGCACAGACAATATTATAGACAGTTGTGAGCCACCTGTGTGTGCTGTAAAGTAAGCAGAGCGTGAACAAAGATAACAACAGACATGCGTGTGTGTGTGTGTGTGTGTGTGTGTGTGTGTGTGTGTGTGTGTGTGTGTGTCTGTTCTGCAGCTTGCTATATGTAGACCAGGCTGGCCTGAAACCCACAGAGATCCTCTTGTCTTTGCCTCCTGAGTGTTGGGATTAAATAAAGGTGGGCACCACCATGCCGACTTGTTTAGTTGGTTTTCGTTTTTTTTTTTTTTTTTTTGAGACAGGACCTCACTAGGTAGACCAAGCTGGCCTTCCCAACTCAGCTTGCTTCTGCCTCCCAAGTGCATACACCTCATATCAGGCCCCAATCTCACCTGTGTCGTAGGGTCTTTTTCTTTGAGTTTTTTGGAGACAGTCACACTGGGAGGAGGTGCAGATTTGAGGCCTTGTCCACAGAGTACCAGGAGTATCTAGAACCTGCCTTACAAAGACAACCAACCCTCCAGCCCCTCACAACGGGGGCACTGGCATCGACTCCTCATTGATGCCCCACCCACCTAGATGTGAGCAAGCTGCTGTAGTAGCTGCGGGCCCCTCTGGCCACCATGCCTTCCCACTGTGAGGGCTGTTCCGGGAAACTGAGTGGACACACTGGGCCGTGAGAACACAGCCATGTGGGCAGGGTGTCAGAAAGATGGGAGGAGCCTCGATATTTTGGAGCTACTTTACCAACAACCTCTGACTCTAGAGTCTGAAACGTGAATAATAAACGTGGAGGGCAGGAGGGCTCATAGGATAGAGGTGCTTACCATGAACTGTGACAGCCTGAGCTTGAACCGAGGGACCTGTATAATAAGGAGAGAACTGACTGTTTTGGCTTGTCCTCTGACAACCATGTGCAGTGGCATGCACACACCTCTCTCCCCATAAAAGAAACAGAAACTGGCCGGGCGGTGGTGGCGCACGCCTTTAATCCCAGCACTCGGGAGGCAGAGCCAGGCGGATCTCTGTGAGTTCGAGGCCAGCCTGGGCTACCAAGTGAGTTCCAGGAAAGGCGCAAATCTACACAGAGAAACCCTGTCTCGAAAAACCAAAAAAAAAAAAAAAAAAAAAAAAGAAACAGAAACTGAAAAATCTATGATCTTGCTTTGTTTGAGACAAGGCTTTTTGTAATTTGTAGCCCAGGCTAGCCTCAAATTTGCTGGGTAGCTGAGAATGACCTTGAATTTGATTCTCCTGGGTGTGACCTGGTTGCACCCAGAGGGCCTCAAGCCAGTTTAAAAGTGCTTACTTAAGGGGGTGGGAATGTAGCTTAGTAGAATGCTAAATCCAGGGTTCAATGTCAGCACCACATAAATTGGTTCTATTGGCAGATACCTGTAATCCCAGTCCTTGGGAGGCAGAGGTCGGAAGATCAGGACTCCTTGGCTTTTTAATGAGTTTGTGGTCAGTCTGGTCTAAATTAGACTATATCTCAAAACAACAAATGAATCAATAAGAAGTGTCTGTCCTTGAGTTTGCCGTTGACTCAGTTTTATGATGGTAATACTTTCAAAACCACCTAGGCGCTTTCCCGTTACTCCTGTTGCCAGGTTCCCCAGGTGAGTGCATTGGGGAGTCTGCACATCACTTCACTACATGGCTGCTAAGCCTGCCAGGGCCATGCCTGGAGAAAAAAGCCCTTTCTGTGGTCTGCTCAGGAGGTGCCAGCAGAGGGCACATAAGGAACACGTGTATTAACCCCCCCCCTTTACACCCCAGCTCAAATCAGAGCTCTCTCCCGGGGTAGGTTTCTTAACCCCAGCAGGGCAGTAGTTGGAGCTGTTTAGAAAACAGAACAAGATCCAGGCTTGGTGGTGTAGGCCTTTAATGCCAGAAGGCAGAGGCAGATGGGTTGCTCAGAGACCACAGGAGGAAAAGGCTTTTAGATTTAGACTGTGGCTATATTGGTGATTTCTCTCTTTGAAAAATAACTCCAAAATAATAATTGTCTTAGTTCTTTTGGTGTGTGTGTGTGGTGCTGCCAGGGATCCAATCCAGGGCCTTGTTCATAATAGGCAAGCACTCTACCACTTAGCCACATCCCCAAACCCTTTGGGTTATAACAAAAATAAGTGCCAGACATGGTAGCTCTTGCCTAAAATCCCAACACTGGGAAAGCTCAGGCAGGAGGATTATCTTAAGTGTGAGGCCAGCTTGGGCTATAGAATGAGACTCAACCTGCCTTCCAACAAAAGCATGATTGGTTGCACCTGACTATGATCACTTGGGAAGCCAAGGCAGGATCAGGAGTTCAAGGTTATCCTCAGCTACAATGTTCTAGGCCACCCTAGACCAGAGACCCCGTCTCAAAATGATGAATCAAAAAGGAGCCACCCCACCCCACCAAACCAAATACTGTAGACTGGATGACTCAACATTTATTTCTTAGAGTTCTGGAGGTTGGGAAGTCCAAGAAGTGTAACACAAATTGCTAAATGGTCTTATTAATAAAAAAAAAAAAAAAAAAAAAAACCCAGAGCCAGATATTGGGGTGAAAACTGAGAGATCAGAGAAGCAGAAAGACACCAGGCATGTTCTTAATGCTAGGAAATCCTCAGCCAAAGAGAGAACTACTTCCTGTATACTCACAACTATATGCCTTTCTGTTCTGCACCTCACTTCCTCTCTCTGCCCAACCACATCACTTCCTGTCTGTGTATACAGACCTCTAGAACTCTATGGTTAGTGCTGGGATTGAAGGCAAGTGTCACCATGCCTGGCGCTCTGTTCCCCAGTGTGGCCTTGAACTCATAGAGATCCGGATAGATCTCTGCCTCCCAAATGCTAGGATTAAAGGTGTGTGCTACTTTTAATCTACCTGACCTCTATGTTTAATATAGTGGCTAGCTTTTTCCTCTGCTCCTCAGATAAGCTTTATTAGGTGTTATGCCCAGATTGTGACCCCCCAAAGAGACCACCAGGGATCTTGGATGTCCAGAATGCAACAGCAAGGTTTATTCTGCAGATACAAGTCTAGACAGGGACTCATTCCTACACCCAATACAGTGAGGCAGGGAAGAGTGCCTCTTTCTTGGGGAAGTTAGTTTTTATAGGCAAAACCCATAAAATTTCTTAGAGGGGAGGGGGTTAGTACGGGTCCATCCTTGATTGGTACGGGCCTGGACTTTACCTTATTTTATCTTATCTGTTTGCCCTGTCAGGAGTTTTACAACTCATCTCTGGGGTCTGGTCTTGTTAACTCTGGAGAGGGGCATCTCGTGGTTAATTGGTTACCATCAGACATCCTGACTCTGTTCTTTTGTTCCTGGGGCTGGCGCCATCATTTCTGGGGACTTGAAACTGGCCTGGCCTAGATCACAGTCCCCAAAGCTGCCACTGAATACTTTAGGTACAGAATGCAAAAGTAAGGTGTTTTCTAAGTCTCCAGGGAGGCTCTTCCAAACCTCTCACTCACAGCAGGGAGGTGGGGAGAAGGAGCCTCCCCTTTCTTT